AGGGATGTTGTTTCTGTCCCATGTGACTGGCCTTGAAGCTCAGCATTCTCTTGGCCTGAGGCAACTGTTTTTTCTTGGTCTGTATCACTTTGAATCCCAGGAAAGCCCACAATCCCTTCTGAGTCTAACTCATCAGTGAACCCATCAGTCTTAGCTGTTGTGACTGCTGAAACTGCTGAACTACAACAGTATAATACAAAATCAGATATATTTACAAAATTAAAACTGAACAACAAAAATAGAGCAATTACAGTTAGCCCTCCACATTCACCGAAGTTAGGAGCACAGGTCCCCCATGAAAGTGAAAAATCTATTTCCTGTCATTTTTGCTGTAAAATTGGTATTTCTTCATGGAAGAGAAAATAATAATTATAACAGAGGTACATGTTAAGTTTTCCTCTGAAGAGGAAATAGTAACATTCCAGTTTTAACTGGGAGATGGCATAGGACAAGATAATTATCCCTGAATATGATTCCTGGATTTGAAGACACCTAGTTGGCAGTGGCGCTTCCCCATCACATGTGAGCCATGTGGCTTCCCTCCACACTGGATCCCTGGATTCCTTATGGAACATGGGAGGCTTCCTATGTTCTGGATCAAGCATCTTAGGATGCTTGCACCCCAGCTCATTGATGGAGCCCTGCTGGAAATCAGCTTGTGTTGTGTGATGGGCAATGTGGAGCTGCACTGACCAGTTGTGCTGCAAGTATCTTAGGATGCTTGCAGCCCATCGTGTGATTGGTGAGTTTTCCCTGTTTGTTGTTGATGCATGTCTCCAAGTTGTTTCTGAGGTTTGGTGATCCTAGGGCAACCCTATCATAAGGTTTTCTGGGACTGAGAGAAGGTGACTTACCAATGGTCACCTAGTACATTTCCATAGCTAAATGAGGAATCCAATTCTCATCTTCAATGGCCAAGCCCCTTCACTTTTCTAAACATCACAGCACCTAAAAGTTTTCCAGATGTAAAAGTACAGAGACTTCTTGAGAAATTCAATAGTCTCTGTCTAAAAATGGGCAATTAGATCAATCTCAAAGGTAGTTATTTTTCTGTTGTTAATGGAGTTGAAATGTTATTATCTATCTTTTTTTTGCGTTTTCTCCCTGGTCCCTTTATGGCCAAGATAAGGAATGACCTCTCCCTGCATTGATATCCCTCTGGACTATCTTTACCGACAAGAGAGATGACATCTGAGACAAAAATGTAGGTCATTGACTATAACATAATCATTTTTCTTTTCCTGTATGAATTTAAATATTTTCTGACTCATGAAAAAGCCAGTGAAGCTTGCATGATGTATTTTCTGCAGTTTGCTTGGCCAATAAAGATAAGACATGGATTTTTGATTTTGTTGTATCGTGCTGTATGGCCAAAATGGCTAACCATGAATATGTTATCTTCCCTTCGTCACTCTAGTCTCAGTTGCTGCCTCAACTTGTAGTGGCAATTAATTTTATTTCTTTCATTTAAAATACAGGATATCCCTAATCTCTAATATCCCAAATCCCACTTCATTTGGCTTTCGGTGTTCTGTCTGGACTGGTGTGTGCCAAGAGAAGGGGAAAACAAAGCATTGAATCAGTATCAAAAAAAGAGCAAGCCTAGCACCAGAACTTGGAAAGGTGCCTTTTTTGATTTCTGTTGCCAGAATTCCGAGCCAGCTATTGCGAGAATTCTGGGAGTTATAGTCCAAGAGGAACTTATTCTGGCTGGATCTCAAATAAATAGGGCCCCAAGGATGGAGCAGCTTTGACACCTTGCCTTCTCTTGACAATTCTGCAGCATTGTAGCCAAATTGAGCAACTTGTGTAGAATTGCAGAAGCCAGAAACTTAAAGCTGAGTTTTTGCTGATTTCTGTTTAAAATAAATAAATAAATAGCATCGAACTGGAAGATGTGTGGTGGTCTGAGGATAGGCAGGTGTCAAGCAACCTGCAGAAGTTGCAAAAATGGCTAGAATCACTAACCCAGCATTTCTCAACCTGGGGGTCAGGACCCTTGGGTTGGGAGGGTTGCAAGGGGGGTGTCAGAGGGGTCAGCAAAGACTATCAGAAAACACAGTATTTTCTGTTGGCCATGGGGGTTCTGTGTGGGAAGTTTGGCCCAATACTATCATTGGTGGGGTTCAAAATGCTCTTTGATTGTAGATAAACTATAAATCCCAACAACTTCAACTTCAAAATATCAAGGTCTATTTTCCCCAAACTCCACTAGTGTTCACATTTGGGCATATTGAGTATTTGTCCACCTTGTTCAGACACAGAGGAAGCCTGTGAGGACAGCAGGAGACCCAATTCCAGGACTATCAGGTTTGTGTGGGGACCTGCAGTCAGGTCCTGGGATTTTTTTGTCTTCCATTTAAAACCCACATTTTGGCACTGTCTGGAAGTGCCCTCTGCAAACTGCACATTGATTCTGGATTGGCAACATCACACTATTGTTTCCCTCCTTTTGGTTCTTTAACAATATTTGGATTGAAAACAACATATTTGGATCTTATCTTTAGTAGTCTCACTTATCCAACCTTTGCTCATCCAATGGTCTGTATTATCCAACACAGCCTGCTTCCTGCCCAGATCCACAGCTGTTTTGATACATTGCCATGTTTTGGTGCTTAATTAGTAAATACAGTAATTACTACATAATGTTACTATGTATTGAAGTGCTTTTTCTGTTGATTTGCTGTAAAACTTGATGTTTGGGTGCTTAATTTGGAAAATCATAACATAAATTAACATTTAATATTCTTTTCTTTAATCCCTCCTTATTATCCAATATTTTCACGTTTCCAACGTTCTGCCGGCCTGTTTATGTTGGATAAGTGAGACTCTACTGTACTTTAAAATAGAAGACTATTTCTGGGGGCAGGGTCTGCCCCTTGTAAAAGAGGACATATGGCTAGTTTAGAAAGTCCCCAAAGAACTAAAAAATGAACCTTGTTGAATAGGGTTTTTTGTGTGTGTGGTTAATATCTCCGAATAAACATGTTTAAGCTCAGGCTCAGGCTGTAAATCTTTCAGCACTCTGAGTGCCAAACAAATGTTAGCAATGGTGGAAAGTATTTAGAAAATTTCACTGATGTGGAAAAGGCCGAAGGAAATGAGTCGGAAGGAAGTCTGGGTAAAACAAAGAGAAAAAAAAGGGCGGAGGGGAATACCAAGAGCTGAAGGACAACTTGTCCTGCCGTAGGAGCAAAACCCAAGCCCCCCAAAGTCCTGCAGGTGAGCCAGGGTGGAAGGGAAGAACAAAAGAAAAGAAAGAGGTCTCCAGTGATGGCATCCTTTCAATTTCACCTTCCTGTAGCATTTTCTGATTGGAGATATATAAAAATATTATATTAACTAGGGAGGAAGTGATTTTTTTTAAAAAAGCATATTTTGGCTGTGTTTGGACTTTAATTGCAGAGTACATTTTGCTTTTGTCATTAGAAGAGGTCAGTCAGGTTTGCTGAAGAAATTATTACGCTCCGCTTGCCATTGGTTAAAGCTTAACAGGAGTAGCTTGCCGTCATTCGTTCTGAGCTCCAAGCTTCTTTTTTTATGCAGAAAGGAACCAAAACATAACAAAACAGAAACAGCCCAAACAATGAATGGACAAATGTTGGGGGAATTTAGACGAGGACAACGGAGGAGAGCATGAAATTCTCTTGGCAAGGACTGGGATCCAGGAGGAAAGGTTAAGATAACTTGGCATCTCCTGCCAAGTTTGGAAGAAGAACATGAGGGACAGCGATCACCGGAAGCATAAAGGAATGTTATAAAGAGGACAAGGATCAATTATTCTCATTAGTCAATGAGGGCGGAACAAGCAGTAATTGGCTTGAGCAGAAAGGGAAGTTTTAGGTTAAATATTCTGCCGGATTGTACCAGGCCTCTTTGACAATGGAGTAAAACTGCCAGAAAATGTTGTGCAACAGCTTTTGCCAGAATTATTCCAAGGCAGAGGTACCAGTTTGTAGGAATAGTTATAGAATAATTAAATCAATCCTGTCACAGAGTGAGAGAGGGTGGGCAAAGGGGATCTATTCGATGGTCAGTGGCTCAAAAGGTGCAACAACTCAAGAGGTATTTTCAGTGGATTGCTAGTGTTTAAATTAAGTGAATGTCAAATGAGTCAAAGACAGTAAAAGATGGTGCAAGTTGTCCAAATGTGGTTATTATTTTTTATTGCATCTGTTATCCAGATTTCTTGTTTGAGCAGTGCAATGTGCTATACTCATTAGCCCTGATTTGCCTTCAGGTATTAATCGCAGATATGTATTTTATATAATAGGGTCACATAAAAATTTCTTAGGCAAAAAGGGGTCACAAGTGGAAAAGATTTAAGAAGGCTTGTTCCAGAGCAGTGTTTCTCAACGTTCCTAGTGCCATGACCCCTTAATATAGTTCCTCATGTTGTCGGGAACCCCAGCCATAAAATATTTTTTGTTGCTACTTCATAACTGTAATTTTGCTAGTTATGAATTGTAATGCAAATATCTTATATGCAGTATGTATTTTCATCCACTGGATGAAATTTGGCACAAATACCCGATATGTCCAAATCTGAATACTGGTGGGATTGGGGGCAGGGATTGATTTTGTCATTTGGGAGTTGTAGTTGCTGGGATTTATCTTTAATCTGCAATAAAAGAGCATTCTAAACTCCAACAACAATGGAATTGAACCAAACTTGGCACACGGAACTCTCCTGACCAACATAAAATACTGGATTTGGTGAGCATTGACCTTGAGTTTTGAAGTTGTAGTTCACCTACATCCAGAGAGTACTGTGGACTCAAACAATGATGGATCTGGACCAAACTTGTCATGAATACTCAATATGCTGAAATGTGAACACTGTTGGAGTTTGGGGAAAATAGATCTTGACATTTGGGAGCTGTAGTTGCTGGGATTTATACTTCACTTACAATAAAAGAACATTTTGGACCTCACTAACGGTACAATTGGGCCAAACTTCCCACACAGATCCTCCATGACCAACAGAAAATACTGTGTTTTCAGGTGGTTTTTGGTGACCCCTCTGACACCCCCAGGTTGAGAAACTCTGTTCTAGAGGAACAGTTCAGACATTGGAAAAGTTGCAGATGGACCATGGAATGCTAATCTAACCTAACAATTTTACAAAGCTTTGGTAAGTTATTTTTTGGAGTACAACTATCAGAATCTGGTGAGAATATTGGGCTTGCAAACTCTGGAGCTCCTTTCTCTCAAAAGTCAGATTATCACCCTCTGGCTGCCTTTCCAAGGGTGCTGAAAAAATGTTTATTCCAGCAAACCATTAATTTGGGATTTTTGGGAGGGGGGGGGGGGAAGAAGCAGTTCTTGTATAACATCCTCTTTTTTGACTTGTTGTTGAAATGGTTTATGTTTAAATTGGTTTAAATTTTTTAACAGTTTAGTTGATCTTTAACCTTTGTATATTGCGAACTTTTATCTATGTTTTAACCTTGTGTCTCAAACCTGGAGAAAAGCTAGGAAATAATAACAATAATGGCACAAAACTTAGGGGATAAAGGAATAAACAATGAACCCCTATATCAGACCAGGTAGAATAGTCTCTGTAGCTGCCAAATAGTTAATACTGGGGCATAATGGAAAAATGAACAGTTAAAATATCAGTTCTAAGCTTCCCTGAACATGTGGTTAATGATTTCTCTCCATTTTCACAGGTCGGAGAACTGGATGAGCCTCATGTTAAGAACTATCATGAAAGCCTGAACTGTACTACTGGTAATAAAAGCAATGGCTGAGTGGCTGGAAACGTATTGGTGTCATACACATGCACATGTTCCTGTATGCATGCGGTTGTATTTATTTGCCCATTGCACAGCAGATGAATTAAGTTCATAATTGCGTCAATGGAGTTCCCCAAGTGTAACCATTTCACATGCACATTCTTGGATGATCTGTAACTATCTGTTTTTGGCCTTCTGTGTGCCACTTGATTCACTGGAACTATGAAAACAGCGGTTGTGCTTTCCCTATTGCTCAATGGGGAATAGGCAGGAGCTTTGACAGATGTGCAATGGCTTGTACAACATCAGTATTTATCAGCATTTATATATAGAGGTGTTTGGTGACAGCGCTGTCACTATATAAGATGTACAGTATGCAGTACAATATACCATATGTAATTATATATAAGTCAACCTTATATATAAGTCAAGTACAGGTTTAGGGTCCAAAATTATGGATTTTGATATGACCCATGTGCAAGTTGAGGCTAGTTCTATGGAGAGGGAGGCACCAATGCCTCCTCAGGGCGCTACCTCTATTTCCCAACCAGGCATTCAAAAAGTCCAAAAATGGCACCATAATAAAATGAGTAGAAGGGGGTCAGCACTTCTTTCAGGTTATCTTGGGATGGACTAACCTCTTGCCTTTCACCACTGAACTCAGAAAAGGAGATGAACCTTTTCTTGGGATAAGTATTAAGATGCAGTACTCACACTGAACCATTGATAAGTCAACCTATTTTTAATTAATTTTTTGAGTAAAATTTCTAGATGTGTACAAACTTTCTAACTTGGGGGCTGCATGGTGGGCCAGGCAGACTGGGAGGGAGGGGGCTCTCCCCAAGTCTCCTCTCTGCCCTTTCCTCCCTTCCTCTTCTCTTTTGGAGACAGAAAGTGAATGAAACACAGGAAACGTTTGGATTTCAAAAGGGTTGGCCTGCCTGCCCAGGGTTGGCCTTGGTCAGGATGAGATGGTGAACAGGAGAGAAAAAGTGTATCCATTAGACTTCTTATTGCTTACTTCTGATCTAGAATCCTAGAAAGGCCATCCAGTCCAACCCCCTGCCATGCATAAAGGCAAAATCAAAACAATTCTGATAGGCAGCCTCTGCGGAAAAGCCTCCAGAGGAGACTCCATCACACTTCCAGACAGCCTACATCACTCTCCAACAGCTCTTACTCTAAGGAAGTTCTTCCTAATCAGTTTAGTCGAATATCTTTCCCTGACATTTGAACCCATTGCTCCCTTGTGTCCTGGTCTATAGAGCAGCAGAAAACCTGTTTTCCGCTCCTCCTCAATGTAGAAACATGGTTCTCATGTTCGCTCTCAACATTCTCTTCTCCCAGCTAAACATCCCTAGGAGGAAATGAGGAAGGAAGAAGAGAAGAGAAGGAAGGAAGGAAGGAAGGGTGGAAGGGAATGGAGAGAGGGAAGAAAGAGAGAAGGAAGGAAAGACAAAAGGGAAGGAAAGAAGGAAGGGAGGAAGAGAAGGATGGAAGGGAATGGAGGGAGGGAGGAAAGAGAGAAGGAAGGAAAGACAAAAGAGAAGGAAGGAAGGAAGAAGAAGAAAGTGAGAGAGAGAAAGAAGGAGGAAAGAGGGAAGGAAGGATGAAAGGGTGGAAGGAAAGGGTAGAAGGAGAAAGGGAGGGAAGGAGGAAGGAAAGAGATAAGGAAGGAAGGATAGGATGGTGAGAGAGGGGAGGGCCTGAGAAAAGAGCTCAAGGGGCTGCATCCAGCACCTGGAGCTGGGTTTGACCATATAGGCTGGTATCTTGTTCAATGTCCGCTGGACAAGAACGTTTCCCCCCAGGAACCTAAATGCTACTAATGAAAATATCTAGCAGTTTGTTCCTAGGTGGCCATTTACAGACGGGTGGCCAAAAAAGTGACATCTTTTCTCCTGATAGCTATTTGTCACACCATTTTGTGCATCAGCCTAACAACATCTGGAACTCCAATCCAACAAAACCAGGAGGTGAACACATCCCCCACCTCTGCACCAGATCGCACCAGCTCTGTGGAGTCCCCTACCCATTTCAACAATCTGAGTAATCTTCGATTTGTGTGGGAGAGTGTGTATGGTTCAAGCAAACATGCCACCCACAGGCTCTTGGAAACTCACTTCTCTTTTGTTGATGTTAGACTGAAGCATTAGCAAGCTTTTAATATACCAGCGGCAACATCATAAAGTAAAATCCGTTCTTCTTCTCCTGCCAAGGCTGAGCTTCTTATGTGAGATGGTCTGCCCAAACATATTCTGCCCACCACAAGGCAGCATGTGCCATCTGTCAAAAAGGAAGCGGCTGGCTGTGGAGACAGGCACCATCTGCCCAGTTCAAAGGAACAGTAGGAGAGAAAGAATCATAACACGAACAAGAATCATTTCAAAGCAAATTAGCAGAGGCACCCAGATCTCAGTTCTGTCAGTCTAGAAGTTCTATATCTGCAGTTGCTGAATTGTATATCATTGCTAAAGGTCCAATCAGGTGTGGCTTTATTTGAAGGCCGCTTATCTTTATACGTATAAATAGCATCAGGACTGCAAGTAACAGAAAGAACATGCTTCAACTTTGATTTTTTTTAAAGGAAATGATGAAGACCACCAATCTGAGTGTACAGTTTGCTCTACACAGGGCTGTCTTAAAAAGTGGTTGGAAGCTGTAAATAGTTCAAAGTGCGACAGCCAGTCAGTTAACAGGTAGGAGCTCCCGGTGGCGCAGTGGATCAAACTCTTCTGCCGGAAGGACTGAAGACCGAAAGCTCGCAGGTTGGAATCCGGGGAGAGTGTGGATGAGCTCCCTTTGTTAGCTCCAGCTCCCCATGCAGGAACATGAGAGAAGCCTCCCACAATTGAGGGAGTTGTAGTTCACCTACATTAAGAGAGCACTGTGAACCCAAACACCAATGGATCTGGACCAAACTTGGCACACCTACCTGATATGCTGAAATTTGATTACTGGAGGGGTTTGGTGGCAACTGATATTCCTTTCTGGGAATCGTAGTTCACCCACAACCAGAGAAACTGTGACCTCCACCAATGATGGACCTGGACCAAATTTGGCACACAGAACCCCCATGACTAACTCAACCTATTGGAGGTGTTTGAGGTGACTGACTCTCCATAGTGGGAGTTGTAGTTTACCCTGCAGCCAGAGAGCACACTGAACACCACCAATGAGGCATATAGAGCAAACTTGCCCAACATAGCAAACTTTCAATAGTGATGGAGTTTTTCGGGCTTAACCTGGCATATGTGAGTTGTAGTTCACCCACAACCTTATGCATTTTGTACAATTAAAAAGCTGACTTTTTCAATTAACCCGGACAACACCAAGTAGCCAAGCTAGTAAAATAATAAAATAATAAGATAGTGAAAGACTGTATATTTTGGTTTTGGCTTAGTTCGTTGGTGTAAATTTTGGCAGCTTCCATAGCAAGAGCAGCAGTAGGTCATGGAAATTGTCTGGTAGCCACATGCAGCTACATGTGGCCCTTTAATCCATGATGAAAGAAGACAAGATTATAAGGAAAAGGGGCAAGAAATGAAAGCAAAAGCCAGAGAGCTGGGTCGGAAAGGATGCGTTGCTAAATACTGTTTGAAATAGCAAAGAAATACAGATGGTGGTATGCAATTAATATTGGATAAACAGGAAAGCAAGAGAAAAATAGGAGAGGAATGACACAGAAGAAGAAACAGGAGTTTTAAGAAGAAATCTCCTTCTTCATCAGACTTGCTGTTTATGTACTGTACACTTAACTATCTGTCTGTCCATCCTTCCAGCTTCGTGGAGAGGCAGGTAATAAATTCATTATTATTACTATTACTATTATTATCCATCCATCTATCCATCTTTCCACCTGATGACCTCAGCCAATATTGCCATAACAAACCAGATCTTACAGATTATCTGACTCTCTCTCCCTTTATGAGCCCCGTTTTACATTTTTCAGTCTGCAGATTCCAGAAATCTCAAAAAAGTGGCATGTATTTATTCACTTATTTTAGTTACATCCTGCCCAGAAGAAGTACTGATAATTTTAATTTCGTTAAATTGTTCTTCATTTTAAATATTGTATTGTTCTTCCATTTATTGCACTACAAATAAGATATGTCCAGTGAGCTCTTTCATTTGTTTATGTTTTTCCGAACTATGCTCTGCCCTGCAACAATTTAAGGTACTGTCAAATGGCCCTCGACACTACACTGTATAATCAATGGTGTCCAGTTCTGGACACCACAATTTAAGGGAGATGTTGACAAGCTGGAGTGTGTCCAGAGAGGGGCGACTAAAATGATCAAGGGTCTGGAGAACAAGCCCTACGAGGAGCAGCTTAAAGATCTGGGCATGTTTAGCCTGCAGAAGAGAAGGCTGAGAGGAGACATGATGGCCATATATAAATATAGGGAGGAGGGAGCAAGCTTGTTTTCTGCTGCCCTGGAGACTAGGATGCAGAACAATGTCTTCAAACTACAGGAAAGGAAATTCCACCTGAACATTAGGAAGAACTTCCTGACTGTGACTGCTGTTCAGCAGTGGAATTCTCTGCCCAGAGTGTGGTGAAGGCACCTTCTTTGGAGGCTTTTAAACAGAGGCTGGATGGCCATCTGTCAGGGGTGCTTTGAATGCAATTTTCCTGCTTCTTGGCAGGGGATTGGACTGGATGGCCCACAAGATCTCTTCCAACTCTATGATTCTAAGTGGTGTCAATGTGCAAATTATTTTTTATTTCAGAAGCTACAATATTTGAGCTTCTGGCAAATCAGTTTTCGACTTGCAAGAGAGCCAATGATACATCTGCCTTTGGTATCTTGGCTGCAATCGGTTTCTGATTCCCAGCAGATCCTGCGATGATGTTGAGGGGAGAGCAAAAGAGAAGCAGGCGGCATGATGAGGGAGGCATCCGAAACTTGGTCCAGCGATGTCTCCAGAGACCAGTCATGACAAAAAAAAGTTACTGCACAAGCATTTGGAAGAGGGCCACTGAAAACAACTTGTCCTCATTCCAATTGAGCAACTGTTAGCAGAAA